GCTGTAAGGCTAGAGTAACTGGAAGATCATCAGCTGGGTCTGTGACTGGCTCTGCCCGAGACAGGACTTGCTTTAATCAGCTCGTGGGGATGCCTGTATCCCATGTCTGACAGGAGCATCAGCCCTACACATCCCCTACTCCTGTCTCCCATGAAGACATCTCAGGTACTACCAAGGACACTCTTATCTATGCACCATTGCTTTTATGCCCACTCCCAGCCCTGCTTGACTCTCCTCCAGAGATCAGTGGAGAAGAGACAGAGAAAAAGAATATTCCTTTTTTCATCTTCACATTTGCTTCCAACACCTTCCTCATCATCTAGGGACCATGGTGGAGAGGAGGAAGAAAATTTAAAGGTCTAAAACCAACTACACCTATTTACCCTGATACATTTTCCAATTTGTGATCTAGCATCAGCCTCCTTCATAACTCTGACTCCTGACTACGTGTCCCAGCTGAGCTCCCCAGGGTGCCTGCCCAACCCTGTTAACCCTTCCTCCCCACCCCTTCCACTCCAGTCTGTGGCTCCCTGAAGACAAAACCTCCTTCATGCAGCTCCTTACAATACCCTGGTGGGATTTAATCCCATGAACCTCGGAGCTCTGCCTCCTCCCGAGTGTGTCTGTGGCATTAAAACAAAACATTTCCAAAGCAGCCAGGTTACAGAGGACGAACACCCTTGTTCCCAGGCATGAGCGCGCATGAGCATGTGCATGTGTGTGTGCGTGTGTGTGTGGTGTGTGTGGTGATGAGCAACGAGTCTGCAGAGTTGAATCATTCTGTAGCCTGCTTTGCATTTGATAAATGGCTTTCCATGATATTTCATACATAACTACAGAGAGCTCTCTGAGTGGGTGTGTATGGTACACTGGTGTCTGACACAGCTATATATTTATTTAGTACTTTGTATGTGGAATATTTAATTAATAAAAACCCTGACAGCCTGACTATGAGAAACTGATGTTCTTCCTTGGGAATGCGATTCCTGTAATGGCTGGTGGGGTGACAGCAATTGCTCTCCATGGGCCTCCTGTGAGGTTGCACCCAGGGAGAAAATGGCAGATGCTGGCTACTTCAAAGTTGTCACTGTGGACCAGCAGTCCAGAAGGATTGAGAGTGCAGAAGGATTAGTAGCTTCTCTATGCTATTTTTCTTGAAAAAAGAAAGTTGATTCTATGTTAGAAGTGCTTAAGAAATGAAGAAATGTAAATCCAAGCCACAGCAAGCAAGCACTGGAGGAAAGATATGAACTTTTCATCACTGCATATGTCTGTATCTGCTGTGTCAATATTCCTGTATTTATTCACTTGTCTCTTGTTGGGTACTTGCATAATCAAGAATACGAAAGGAGCTTGTAGGTATGTTATTCAGCTTGTAAAAATGTCTTTCTGATGTTCTGAACACATGTAACATTTTTATTTGAAAGTAGAAACTATCAGAGCAAAATAATGATGTTAATGATGATGATAATAATAATTATAATAATTTTTAAACCCTTTGATGGTATAAGGCTATAATTTCCCTTTTTAGAGGATACTCTCTCATGAGATTTTATGTGGTATGTTATGCTACCACATATCCATATGCTCTTGGCAAGCAAACTCCTTTCCTCAGGCACAGTGATATCTAGAATATGTCAGCCTGGGCCTTCCCCACTCTGCCTGCCAGCACTGAAGGGCAACATAGGGACAATTGGGGCTTCTGAATACCTTGGCATGAGAAAGATCTGTCCTAGAGACTGGTTTGAAATGTGTCATAGGACAATTTGCCTTTTTCTAGTAAATTTGAGGTGGAAATGATGCTTACCCTTCCCTCCTCTTCTCCCCTCCACCTACATAGTCCACAGGTGTAACACAGAGGATGGGAGAGAAAACTCAAGAATGCTAATGTGACACTGGGGAGCAGGCTGGGGAAAGGGGTATGTGAAACCATGATGCAACTTGTTGACTTGCAGAGTGAAGGCAGGAGGGATATACTTGAAACAATAACAAACTTCCAAGAAGTTAGGTTTTCGGGCTGATGTGCTTAATGTAAAGCCATTTAATGGCTTAAGCATAACTAGAGTATGTCCCAAGATGATTCAAAAATGTGTTAAAATGGAGCCAACTTGCCTGCTTCAGTGGAGTCTGGTGGAGCAAAAGGACAGGCTAACAGGACACATAAGAGCTAAGTGTGCTCTAACTGTGTGTTTTCCACACCCCAGACACTTATCAACTCCTTCACTGACTAACACAGACCAAAAGTGCCTCCCAATGCACCTTGGCCTCAGAGGCAACAAAACTATGAGGGATGAGAGACAACATATGCACTCCCATGGTGATTTTCTTGATTACTTGGTTGTTACTGTGCATGCTGCTTGGCAGAGAGTGAAAATCTCGTTCCACGGATTTACAGTGCATTTTAGAGTAATTTTTTTAAACCTCTGTAATGACACAAATACTAATCTGCCCAGAGTTATTTTGCACTTGTTCAATATTAAGGCAGATTTGTGTGAGGACTGATTTAAATGCCAAAATAAACACAAATTTCTGTGGAACTTGACACTGGCGGGAAAGGGATGCTGCTGCTCTGCAGGTTTCTCACACCTCAGGAGAGACTTTTGGGAAAGCAGCTGTTTCCTCTCTCCTTTAAGCTGAGCTTAAGCCAAACCAGTTGGCCACTTAGTCACACATGTACATGTCCCAGGGAAATCCTAAACTGGTGGGGCCAGACAGACTAAACCCGAAAGGAACAGGTGAGTTGAAGAGGCAGGAAGATTGCCTGATCCTTGTGCTGTTTTTTCTTAAAATCTGCCCACTGGAAGGCCAGTGAACCTAGTAAGGCTCATCCCTACCATCTCTCCTGTAAAGGGATCCCTTGATGGTGGTGGCTGTAGGTATGCTGCCTTCAGGGCCCTCTGGTTTCTGGTCCCTCCTCTCCCTGTTCAACGAGACTAGACTGCCAGAAATGTACACACCAGAGAAAGGTTGGCACAGAGCACACCTGGATTATGAAAGCAGCCAGTATTACTGGGAGGCAGGATAAACTCAGCTGAACTTCAGGTCAGGGGTGTCATGGGAAAAGAGCAAAGAAGGGCAGAAAGATCGCTTGGTTCCCAGGACCTTCAGGGTCACCATCCTGCGGCCTTGCCAGGGCTCTAGGGCTCCACGTGCCTGGCCAGGAGCGAGCATGGAGGGTGCAATAAACCCTTGGGACACAGACTCTTATCAGTGGTGCCATGGCCTGGAATGGGGAAGGACCTGGCTGGGTTGTCCTCTCAAATGCTTTCTGTTTTGCCAAAAAAATCTTCCCTTCTGGCAGCTGGTCCAGTTCCACCATCCCCAAACAAGGTGTTTCTTTGGGAGAGATTCACCCTCTCCCCACAAGCCCTGTAGCCTTTTACTGGAGTACAGGGATGGTGAGTATCCCTCCCTCAGCTGGGGCCACTGTCTCCAGGCTCACAGGGCCAGGAGGTGAATTTAATCAGACCTGCTCCCCAAGGAACAGAATCAGAGGGCCACATCTTGGATGTGACAACTTTGGTCCAAGTGTGCATGTTGCTCCTTTTGCCAAAGGTGACCATCTCACAGCAGGGCTGACAGCACAGATGGTGTGTTCTGTGCCCATTGACAGCAGTCACCTTTTCCCATGCAAACCCTACACTGTAGGTTTCAGTGTGTCTCATCACACTGGACTAGAAATAGAGGTAGCTGAAGAGGAGAAATGCCTCCCATTTTCCTAGCCTTGATAGAGGCGAAGTGTCTGCTTCAGCCACCACAAGCAGCTGCACTACAAACTGTGAGCAGCACTTAGAGAGCAACAACACCAGAAAAGAGGCAGCACCAATCCCCCTACATTTTCACTGGGTCTGGTGGGTTGCTTAGCTTACAGTATTTTCCTCCATGCACCTACTCTCCAGGGTAGGCAGTTTCTTAATGACAAACATGAGATCTAAAAGCTGCCAGTGTGAGGGTCATGTGTGGGTAACACATGGGATGCCTCTTGCTTTACTCTGCCCCAAGCTCCCTTCAAAGTGTAAGCTCACATGCATGTAGGGAACTGGTGGTTCTGAGAAGCCACAGGGTTCTTCCTAGTTTCCAGTTCTTTTCTGCATTTTAGTAGGTTTAGCAAAATTGCAGAGTCATGCAATGGTTTCAGTCAGATGGGACTTCTGGAGAGGTCTAGTCCAGTTTCTGTCCTGAACAAGGCTCACCTCAGAGCTAGACCAGGTTGTCAGGGCCTTGTCCCGGTAAGCTTTGAATATCTTCAAAGGTGGAGATGACACAACTTTTCAGGGTCTCTGTGCTGGTGTCTGGCCACTCTTATTGGGATTTTTTAAAACTTGGGTCTAATCAGAATTTCCATTGTTGCAAATTCTCTGTCAGTCCTTGACCTTTCACTGTGCACCTCTAAGAAAAGTCTGGTTCCAGCCTCTCTATATCATCCATTTACTTAATAGACAAGAACAACTGGATCTCCCTTAGCCTTTCTTCTGATGACTGAGCAGGTGCCTCAGTCTCTCTCCTGGTGACATGCTCCAAGCAACCCCCAACTGTCTCAGTGTCCTTCCCGCTGGGCTTATTCCATTCAATCAAGCTCTGTTGCAGTGAGATACCCAAACTGAACACAGTATTCCAGATATAGCCTCATGAGTGCTAAATAAAAGGGAATAACCACTTCCCTCACCTTGCTGACTTCATCCTTACTCATGCAGCCTGGTATGTGGTTGACGTACATTGACATAAGCATGCATGGCTGGGCA